ATTCTTAGCAGTCGAGCGATTTCTTACTCCATACACGTTACATCCCTTACAACAACAACTAAATCATCCAATGTTTCTCATATACCCATAAAGCATAACACAACCCTTATCCAAAATCCCATTTACTCGAGTCATCCTCGATCTCAACCTTTTTAAGCCACAACTGATTCACCAGTATGCCTCAAACTGAAACCAATACAAGACATAACCGTGCAATCAACTGATCGATAGCAGACTCCCGCACTTGGCTCGAAGCCATAGATCGAAACACACAATAACTAACGATGCCCATACTTTATTACTGCCATAATGCCATAGTGAGATCCAGTTAAATCCTTCATAAGCTCATGCAACACAACCCATCTAATACCTCAAATCATTTACAAATCTCGCATTCGCCCTCGTATAAGACAAGACAACTCTATACGCGATCCAAACTCAAACTGCAACACATGTAATTCAGTGGTACAAGAGGACTCGCTACAAAACAACATAAGGACCACATACCCTCAGGACAACCCGCAGGAGATAACCCACCTACTTCGCCTCAAACTAACATCTCTTTATACCCTTCCACCATCCTAAACATCATGCAATCACTTAATCTTTCTGAGTCTGAACTCATATCACGACATGAAATCCACTTCACCTCCAAACTAAACAACATGAAAAGATCATTCAACACACCCATAACTCGGGGCTATACATCAAATCAAGATGGAAATCAAGCACCAAATAGTTCTTTCTACACCTCAAGCAGACCCTTCTCGTCACATTCAAATCATATGAACACATCTCGCAGTCACATCATATTCATCACGTAGCCATCCAGCCATCACTTCCACTAATAGGGACAATACCGAACATATAAATCCAAAAGCACATGCTCACACAATCAACACCTCAGTGCTCAAGCTACATTCAAAACCCGGCCTCAAGTCCTCTAGAATGGCCCAACATCAACACGTAGAAATCACATCTCGCACCTCGTCCAGGGAATCATAAGTCGTCGATGCACAGTTGATACCGAGCGCTCATATGCGCATCCGAATGCTTGGAAGGAATTCAAAGAGTTACACTTCAAGCTGAATCAATATCGCACGATAAGAATTCAAGAATGTGGAATTTCCTAAAGGTTCTGCAGCCTCTCGAAGATAAGTACAGACGTCTCCGTACCAATCTGCAAGACTCTACTAAACCTGCTCATGACTCGTGAGACCTATGTAACCTAGACTTTGATACCAACTTGTCACGACCCAAAACTACCATGTCGTGATGGCGCCTATCATGGAACTAGGCAAGCCAACTCTTTACCAAAAACAACACAATTTTTCATTTTCAAGATAATTCCCAAAGCTATTTAATATAAAACCTTCATACGGAGTGTAAATCAAAACAAAAGTGCGGAAAAGAATAGCCTGGCATCGGGGTGTCATTGGTCATGAGCATCTACTAAACACTGTCCGAGATACTGAGACTAACATAGTCTGGAACTTCAACTACAAATTAAACTATAGGAAGATAGGAGGGAGAAGAATAGGGCTGTGATCGCCAGCAGCTACCTTGCCAACTCCGAGAAGGTTCGATAGCTGGACTAGTCAACAGATGCTATCGGGTACTAATGTGCCTGGATCTGCACACAAGGTGCAGTGAGTAACGTGAGTACGCCAACTCAGTAAGTAACCAAAGTAAATAAAGACTGAGAAGCAGTGACGAGCAATAAAGTACAATAAGTTCATATCAGGGAATTTTAGTAAAAATATTACAGGCTTTTAAAAGCAGAGTTTGAATCAAATTATTTCATTTAAACTCAGTTTTAGTAAAATCATTTGAAGATATTTTTCAACAGTTCTTAAATAGAGGCTCAGTGCAACAGGGAGCAAAATGACAAAACCATAAATAGCCCATCGGGCAAAACATCACTCATACACAGTCACTTGTATACAGGCGCTCGGGCATAACATCTCTCACACTCAGGGTACCCGCGCTCACTGGGGGTGTGCAGACTCTGGAGGGGCTCCTTCAGCCCAAGCGCTATAACAAGCCACCTCGTGGCATAAACAAATCAGGCCCGCGTCCTTACTCAATCATGAATCAATAACAACATGCTATAACGTGCAGCCCGATCTATCCTCACAAATCAGGCCCTCGGCCTCACTCAGTTATAAACCTCTCAAGCCACTTGGGCTATCAGTAAAAATAGGGTACTCAACCCAAAATAACATTTTATATGCATCAAAATAGGGTAATAAAGACTCAGTTATGAAATCTATAAGTATAACATGACTGAGTATAGATTTTAACCAAAAATAGTGAGAGGATAGTAAGAAAAAGGCCCTAAGGGACCAAACAGCTTTAGCATGAGGTCCAAATACGGCTTTTAGCCCAATCAACAGAAATTCTTTCTAAAACACATAAGTATCATATAGTTTCAACCAAATACGCAACTTATAATTGCCACGGGATGGACCAAGTTACAATCCCCAATGGTGCACGCCGACACGCCCGCCACCTAGCATGTGCGTCACCTCAAAATAGCAATATGATACGAAAATCCAGGGTTTCATACCCTCGGGACTAGATTTACAATCGTTACTTACCTCAAACCAGTCAAGTTCCTACTCCGCAATGCGATTGCCCCTCGACTCCGCCTCCAATCGCTCCGAATCTATTCACAACCACAACAATATCATCAAAAAGAGCTAATGGAATGAATTCCACAAGAAAAACTAGAAAATTAGGCACACCGAAATCCTCTCAAACCCGGCCCCCGGGCCCACGTCTCGAAATCCGATAAAAATTATAAAACTAGAAAGCCCTTTCCCTCACGATTCTATATATACAAGACTTATCAAAATCCGACTCTATTTGACCCATCAAATCCTCAATCAAACTCTCCAAAATACCAAGCCCTAACCCCTCATTTTTAACCCTAATCACCACTAAATACATGATTAAACAACGGTAAATTACCATAAACATGAGTATTAGGGCTCAAGTAACTCATCTCAATGAAAATCCCCTTGAATCCCTCTTTAAATCACTCCCAAAAGCTCCAAACCGAACAAAAATGGTGAAGAATAACCCAAAATTCGCGTAGGGTTTAATTTATACCTTCTGCCCAGGCATTTGTGCACATGCGGTGCCGCTTCGGCGCCCAAAAGTTCGCATTTGCGGAAGTCACTTAAATTCCAAGAACCGCACCTGCGTCCCAGGCATCGCACCTGCGGGCCCGCAGATGCATCAAATTCATCGCATCTGCGGCTCCTCTCCTAGCCATCCAGTTCCGCATCTGCGGCTTCCCCACCGCACCTGCGACCTCGCACAAGTGGTCCCCTCTCCGCTGGTGCGGTAATCACAGAACATAGCAGCTTCAGCTGCATTTTCCAAGTTTCAAATCCTCCGCTATCCATCTGAAATCACCCCGAGCCCTTCGGGAACTCAACCAAACATGCCAACACATCCCATAACATCATTCAAACTTAGTCGAACCTTCAAATCTCTCAAAACAACATCAAAACACCAAATTACCGTCGGATTCAAGCTTAAGAATTTCCAAACATCCAAATTCCGCAAACGACGCCGAAACCTACTAAATCACCTCCGAATGACCTAAAATTTTGCACATACGTCATAAATGACATTACGAACATACTCCAACTTCCGTAATCCCATTCCAACCCTGATATCAAAATTTCCACTTCCGAACGAAAATCACCAAATTTCCAATTTTGACAATTCAAGCCTAATTCTACCACGGACCTCCAAATCACATTCTGGATGCACTTCCAAGTCTGAAATTACTTAGCGGAGCTAACGGAACCATCAGAAATCCAATCCGAGGTCAAATACTAAAAAGTCAGAACTTGGTCAAACCTTTCAAATTTAAAGCTTCAAGCTGAGAATCATTCTTTCATATCTATTTCGATTAACCTGAAAATCAAAAACGATGATTTACATAAGTCTTAATACATCATACGGGGCTAGTCATGCCTGAGAACTGGCGAGCGAAGGACAAATTCTCAAAACTACCGGTCGGGTCGTTACATCTGTCTCGCATAATCTCTACAAAGAACATATAAATATAAGTAAATAAAACTATAATGACGCAAATATGAATTCTGAGTGGACAGAAACAAAAGAACCTCATCAAGCTCTTCTCAAAGGTTGCATTTTACAGAGGCATTTTAAGGATCCTTTTTTCTCTTTTTTTTTTACTTCCAGTTTATTTTCTCACTCTTATTTTTATCTTATGTAAATGCAGACTTTTGAAGGGTCTACTCATATCAATGTAACCATATCATCCATGAATGAATGTTGCAGCTACAAAGTAGAGAAAAACATGTTACTGAAAATATCTTCTGTATATTTTGTTTGTTCGTATACTTAATTACTTAAATTACCTTTTTCTTTGAGAAATCGTGAATGTTGTTTGCTAGAAAAAATTACAAGGAGACAAATATGAATAGAAATTACCTTATGCTCTGGATTCGCCCACATGTCACCGAGCCTATTCCAATTTTTTGGGGTCAACTCTGTCACTTCAATTTTACGAGCCTCTTCCTCGGAGCTTGCACTTTCAAATAGCTTTTTAATTTGTAGCGCCATTGTCGGCTTTTATTTTTCAGAATATCCTCACAACTATCTTTGGTGTAATGCTCGTCCAAGTTAATTTCAAAATTCTCCTGCAAAATGAGAAGTTTTGAAGATCCTCACAAAATAATCAAAATTTTCTTTGCTCATAAAAGATTAAAAACTAACATATTTACAATGTAATAAAATTTACCAATATATAGAATCCTTACATGGCTTCTAATTAATGTTGAATCCTTATCCTCTATTGTGAGTTCCTTCCACTTATTTGGAAGCAAAAGAAAATTGTGAGAAATAATTCCTATCTCATTTGATATCTTTGCCGATGGAATTGCCTCAACTGGCCTTCCTTTACCAACTGGGATGTCTATAACCATCCTTTTTCCTTTAAACTTCTTCATTTTCTCAAGACCTTTTCCCATTGTCCTTCCACGACCTTTCCTGATTCTAGTTGAATCATCTGACTTTAAAAAGTAAAAGTCAGTTCAAAATACTGGCTAATATTCAAAAATGGTAACCATGTATATATATATATTAGTAATTAATTGCTATGCTACAAATGAAAACTCTTATTGTTACAGGTTTAACATTAATGAATGTTTCAATTGTTAATATATTTGGGGAACGTTTCAAATGTTAATATATTTGGTTCCAACTTGAACACAAAAGAATCCTAGATGCTGAAATATAAAGATAGCTATTTCTTTCCAATTGGGAAAGTAAGAGTTTGTTGCAACTTCTTATTGGGCGACAATCAGAAACTTTGTTACATCCCCTCTTTTAAACACAATCCGTTTGTTTTATAAAGATAAACTCAAGAATAATATTGCAGTAGGTGTAAGTTCTTGGCTACCCTTAATATCTACTAAAACCAATAAGAAAGAATGGGTGCAATGTAATTTATCACATAATGACTTCCAAAGAAATGAAAATCCCCAGTATACCTTCGAATTGCAACGGAATTGACCCAACCATAAGAAATTACTTCAATTATACAGAAAGGTTTCAGTAAAAACAGTACTACCAAATGTCTGAATTAGAAAGTGCGGGATATACTTGCTGCATATAGAAAAATAACATGGAATGCACAGAACAAGCAAAAAAGGGATCCATAAGAATAAACAACAAAAAATAGGAGTATACTGACAACAATGAGCAATAAGCATCAGAAAAAAGGAGAACAATAACTAATAGATACACTCCTAGTCAATATAATAAAAGGTACGTATTACCTGTACTAGGAGTAGGATTATTACTATTTGATGGATCAGATGATCGGCTTGCTTGAGTAGAAGCACCTGTAACTGTGGCTTGTCTAGAGACACGTCCGCCTGGTGCCATTGATTTGTAGAATTCTACCAAAAATACTATAAATTTTAGTATATTCATTAAATGTAAGATCTATTATAAAAAACCAAAAGTTAGAAATAACTAAAGGAAAATTCAAAAAGAACGTATATCATCAATCTGGAAAGCCTGATGCACATCATTTCCTAATAAGAGTTTACTGTCTTCTTCTCCTAATATTTATTGAACTATTGAAGCATCACTAGCCGACTGAAGTAACTAGTATAACATACCAAAGATCTATTTATGCAGGAATTTTTCAAATTTGAAGGCACATAAACTATGTTTTCAAAACTTATACATCCAGCAGAGTTAAAAGAAGATGTGTGTCTAACAAAGATCGAGCCTAGTGAAGAAATGTGTAATGACCCGACCGGTTGTTTTGAGCTCTAGCGCGTCGTTCGGCAGTTTGAGGCCATCAGTAGCTTCACTTCAGGCATTATGACTTGCACGCATGGTCGAATTTGAATTTCGGGAAGTTCGGAGTTGATTTGGAAAGAAAATTCTCATTTTGAAAGCTTTAAGTTGAAAGAATTGACTAAAGGTTGATTTTGAGTAAACGACCTCGTAATCGGGATTTGAAGGTTCCAACAGGTTCGTATGATGATTTTGGACTTGGGCATATGTCCTGATCGGGTTTTGGATGACCCGGGAGCATTTCAGCGCCTATTGTGGAAGTTAGTATTTTGGGAGGAATTTCATAAATTTGGGTTGCAGTGCATTTCAATATTATCGATGTCCGTATGGGATTTGGATCCTGGGAATAGATCCGCATGGTGATTCTAGTATTGGGAGCGCGCCCGGAAGTGGATTCGGAGGTCCGTAGGTCATTTTGGCGTCATTTGGAGAAAGTTAGAAATTTGAAGGTTTTTGAGAAGTTTGATTGGAAGTGGACTTTTTGATATCAGGGTCGGATTCTGATTCCGGAAGTTGAAGTAGGTCCGTAATGTCGATTGTGACTTGTGTGCAAAATTTGAGGTCAATCGGACGTGATTTGATCGATTTCGGCATCGAATGTAGAAGTTTGAAGTTCTAAAGTTCATTAATCTTGAATTGGGTACGATTCATGATTTCGAGGTTGTTTGATATGATTTGAGGCCTCGAGCAAGTTCGTGTCATGCTTTAGGACAAGTTGGTGTGATTGGACGGGGTCCCGAGGGCCTTGGGTGTGTTTCAGATCATTTTTGGCTACTTTAGATGCTGATTACTGATATCTGGTGTTGTTCTTCGCGTTTGCAAGGATCCTCTCGCGTTAGCGGAGAAGTATTTGGCTTCTGGGATTTTGTTCTTCACGTTCGCGAAGAGACTCTCGCGTTCGCGAAGAAGGAAATCTCTGTTGCACATGTCTAGCTTCGGAGGCTCAAATCTCGCAATCTACAAGGAATTTGGAGATAATCCAAAAATGAAAGTTGTAGCCCGTTGTGTCTAGTATGCAGAGATTTAAACCATTTAGCATTTGGATTTGTGTGCAAAATGTTATTGCTGGTACACTACAAACTGTCTGGGAAGATGAAGAAGAAATTTGTGTTGCACAAGGCTGACTTTGGCAGCTTATAACTAGAAATTTATAAGGAATTAGTAGATGACCAAAACATGAAAGTTGTAGATCTTGGTGTCTAGTTTTCAAAAAGTTAAACAATTTGTCATTTAGAGTTTTGTACGAAAGGGTATGACCATTATACTAGAAGCTATCTGAGAAGAGTTTGGAAATGGCTTTCGAGAATTTTGTTCATCGCGAACGGGATGGGAGGCCCCTGAACATGAAGAAGCATTGCCTGGAAGTGTATAAGTTTGCAACAATAAGTTTGGCTCATTTAATCTCATTTCCTCCATGGGAGATGACCTAGGAGCGAATTTGGAACTCCATCTTCATCATCTATGTCAAGGTAAGTCATTCCCACCTATTGCAAGTTAAATACATGGATTATATATAGATTTTAACATGAAAATTCATGAGAAATTAGTGAAAATTTGGGGTTTGGTAGAAAGACTAAAAATTAGTATTTTTGAATTTTGACCATGAAATTGGGCATGGAATTTGGAATAAATTATATATTTGAGTTCGTGGGGTTATGGGTAAAGTTTGTCTTCAAAAAATTTCAGAATCCGTACACGTGGGCCCGAGGGCGATCAACTTTTCGAGCGGAGTTGGAAAATTGTTTAAATGGAATTGTTGCAAGTATTAGAGTATATTTTTATGCGTTTGCACATTTATTGACTAGTTTTGGAGCGTTGGGCACCGATTTGAGTCGTCGGAAGGACTTGGGAGCCGGTTATGGAACTTCGGAGCGAGGTAAGTCTCCTTTCTAACCTTGTATATGGAAATTAACTCCATAGGTGAACTAAATTATTATGTGCTTCTATTTGTGGGGGCTACGTATGCACGAGGTGATGAGAGTCCATACGTAGCTACTAGCTATGCCTATGTCCAGGTAGTTTTAGGCTTACATCATTCCCTGTTGATATTGTTATTGATTTATGTTTTATTTTTGCCTTGAGAGGGAGCGAGATTGAGTTTGCTTATTAAGTGTTTTGAAATGATTTGAAATTGAGGAAAAGTTGGGATCTTAAAAGTTTTTATTTGAACTTCGCATTTTGAAAAGAATGGAAGAATACTATAATGACTTAAGAAATCTATATGTGACCGCGTCGCAAGTATGATCTGCGAGCGGGGTAATTCCTTAAATTTATATTTGACCGCATCGCATGTATGATTCGCGAGCGGGTAATAGATGCATCTATGATTTGCGCCGTTCGACCCTCGACAGTGCACATCTTGCATTTATGTTGGATCGGGCCGAACGTCCTATGTGGAATTCGTGTTTGATAATAGAACAGGAAGTCCCTTTTACAATTGGTATATTGTGTGATCATATGTTTTAAAGGAAGGAAGTGATTTAGGTCCTTAAATATGGGGAAGACCTGTTCAATTATTTCTTGTTGTGAGTCTTATTGTTGTATATCATGCTTGATTAGAATTTCATATTATCATATTATTGGACCACTAGTAAGTGTCGGAGTCAACCTCTCGTCACTACTTCTTCGAGGTTAGACTTGATACTTACTGGGCACGCGTTATTTTCGTACTTATACTACACTTGCTGTACATTTTGTTTTATAGGCACATGTATGTCTAATGACCGTCTGGACGCAGCAGCGTGGTTGATACGGGGACTTAGGTGAGCTGCATACTATGTTACGATCTGCAGCCGGCAGAGTCTCCTTCAGTGTATTTATATTTTTTTCTCTAATGTCGAAAGTTGTATTCTAGACAGATGATGTATTTTATTTAATTTTTCGTAGTTGATGCTATGCACTTGTGATACCGGGTTCTTGGATGATTATGGGTTATTCAGTATTGAGATTGTTAAAATATTATTATTTACTCTATAATTTCCATCTTCTACTATTTAATTGAAGGAAAACTATGAGTTCGAAAATACTAAAAAGAGAACCAAATTAATTATTTATTGTTGGCTTGCCTGACAGCAGTGTCCGGTGCCATCACGACCTTTAATGGATTTTGGATCGTGACAACATGGTATCAGAGCACTAGGTTCACTTAGGTCTCACAAGTCATGAGCGTGTCTAGTAGAGTCTTGTGGATCGGTACGAAAACGTCTGTACTTATCTTCGAGCGGCTACATGGTTGTAGGAGCACTACCCTTCTTGATTCCTCATCGTGCGATTTGATTCCTTTGAGGCTTATGCCTTCCTTTCCTTTCCTTCCTATACAATCTTATGTGAAGTGAAACGCTTGTTATAAATAAGAAATTTTAGGAATTGTAATGGTACTACAGATGTCGTGCAAAATGTTTCTCCCTGCGTATTTGATTGGTCTATTATCGTCACCTTGCGGAAGGCTGTTTTGTCGTTTCAACTCAATATCTGCAATACCTAAGGTTTTGAGATTTGCCATTGATTGTTATGACGATTCGTGCGTTGCTATCGCACAGTGCTGTGCAATGGTAGGATGTTTGTCTATATGTTGAGGTAGTGAATGACTTGAAAGGAGGTTTACTTAGTGCATGATTCAGAGATTCAATATTTTATTTTCGGCGGAGGAAAGACAATCAACCTACGAATGGTCAGATTTGGGTTAATGGAGTAACGAGACTTGGTATTTTCGAGCGTGGTAGAATTTTCATCAGTAATGTGGTGTCATCGCCCTTGATCGAATGCGTTTAGTTTTCCAGTGTTATGGTCTTCGTTAAAATCTCCCTTGGGGCAGGGTAGTGTGAAATAGTGCCGGAGAAGCGGCTATCAGAGATAGAGAAGTGCAGCAATTTCGGAATCAAATGGATATTCCTAATGTTGACGGCTTGAGATAAATGATCTTCGGAAAGGTTTAAAGTTGGTTGCGATCTATTGATCCAGGTGTCTTGCGATGGTTAAATTTCTAGAAGGTCAGGTGTAAGAAACATGAGTCGAGTAGTTGCTTAAAGGAGTGAGTTGACCAAAGTGGAAGAGTGGCAGAGTAGCATATGGGTTCTGTGGTAGGATGACTGCACACCTTGAGAAAAGCTTAGAGTTATTTGGGATTCATGGTGGACAGTGACTAGGTCTACAAATTTTATTTGGAACATTGGCTATTATACGGCGGGAGATTGGATACGACAAAAAGGAGTTGCTTGATATGAAGAAGGATACAACATGACTTTGGATTGGAATGTATTGTCACACCTTTAGTTGATGTCCATGAGGAGTGAACGGACTTGTACAGCTGGTGAATGAGCACGGGCTCAGGATGGGTTACTAAGTTTGTAGTAATTATACCCAGTGCGATGACGTTAGAAGATGTCGGCATGTAATTTCCACGGGTGGGTTATATCTTGTGGGCATGTCAGCGGTCGAGTGGTTGATGAAGCTTCTACGAAGAATTCTACTGGCTATTCAGTAAGAGGTCGAATATGTAAAGGTGATAAGTGATTCAGAGTGTTTGTGAAATG